AAGCAGAAAACTTGTTTCAAATGGTGTTTTTTTCCATTTGGTTTACCCTGCTGGATGTGTGTATTTTCACCACATTGAGTCTCCCGCTTGCAAATATTTTAGGTAACTTTGCTCAACAGCATTTTCTATCTCCGACCTCCTAGTACAGGATCACATTAGGTAATGTAGTTTGTATGGATTTTTTTTTTTTTTTTTTTTCTTTTAAGCTACATGCATGCGGTGGGGGAGACCTACTTAATGGGGGATGTGAATGTCATCTTCCAAGCTCTTGTTTCATTTTGCATTTTTCACAGTATTTCTCACAGCTGTTAATAGTGGGGAAAAATCCGAGAACTGATGGAGTGTCTTCTTTTATGAAGTTGGTTGGACTTTTAACCTGTTCTACATTTCTGCATGTGCAGAGGATTTGGGACTTCATATTTATTCATGCACAAGTGTTTTTGCCTATTGCAGAGGGTAAAATTCAAACTTTGCAGATTTTAATGGTCATCTTGTACTATGTAAGGTAAAGTTAGTCTTCAACCACCTGCACTATTTATAGCTTTTGTCGGCAAGTGCAAAAGACAGGCTCACATGGCAGGTTTCAAGGTTGCATTAGGATTTTCTATGAATGGAATAAATGAATACTGTCATATCTCTTAGCAAGGCCTTGTTTATATTGAAGTTTAAGCAGCTGCCTCAGCTCATGCATATCTATGCTTGAAGCTTTAAAGGTGCTATTTAATGCTCTACATGTTATTTTACAAGCCATTTTACAAGGCATCATTCAGTGATGTTTGAGGAGTTGATTGGATCATCAGGATAACTGGAGACACAAAAGGGTGTTTCTGAGGCTTAGTCATCTCGTGTTTGGCACTGACCCAGTTTCATTTCAGATAGTGATGCAACTCTATCTTGCTTTCAGTTTCTTTTCAAGCAACTAACGGACAGGGCTTCCTCTCTGGAATCAAAGCACCAGGAGCCTTTTGGTAGCGCATTGCTGATACTATGTCTAGGGGTTAGGTGCAGGCATTGACAGGATTGAGATGTACATGATGTTTTATGGGATTGCTTTTGAAGAGCCAGTTCGAGCTTTTTAGGATATGTTAGAAAGGGATGAGCTCATCCAGGTCAGTATAACTCCAGTTACAAGCCAAGATATATGAAGTGATGTGTCAGGTGTTTTTGTGATAAATGATGTTGAAGGCATCTGAAAGGATGAAGCTGGATCAACTTTGAAAGCTATGCCAGCAAGAAAACCCCATGTAATTAGTGGTTGATTTCATAGGTTCTTGGCAATAACGTGCCTATGAATATTAGTAGTTTGTGATGGGACATTAAGAAGAGATGCTGGCTTTGAGAAGCTTTTTGTGAGGAAGAGGTGTTTTGAAGGTATCGGAGTGATTAGCTGTCTATTCTGCTTGACAAAGACTTAGCGTTTTGTCAGTGGTAGGGTAAGATATGTATCACCAGCTTCCTTTGGAAGATTCATAGATTTTGATTAATTGTGGTTACTTTTTTTTTTTAATAGTTCTTGGAAAGGCCATGTCTGCTACTAAATGAAGTTATTTAAAACTAAAAATACCAGTAAAGCTCACTTCTGTCTTGTTTACCATATTTTGAAACAAAGATGTTTTCCATCTACTTCAGCGTAACAATATGCATCCAGTACCTTACAGGTGCCAAATAGGAAAAAAAATAAAATTGCTCCTTGGCAGCAGTTCAGTGTGTAAAGTAGAAAACTTCCTTCCATCAGCACTTGGCTGATGAGAAGCTTATAGAGAAAGATGATGGTTTGTTCACTGTGTATGTTACAGTTTGATCATCTGTTATTAATATGTCTTCCTTGTGTTTCATCAGATGACTTGCTAACAGCGGCAGGAGACTGTAGGGGATATTTGAAAAGTGTCTCTGTTACTGGTTGGGTAATCAACGCATACAGGGTGAGGGAGATCAGCTGCCTGTCTGGAAGTTATGCTCTACCAGATGATCTGTGGTGTTCAAGAGTTAAATTCACATGACTGTAGGAGAGTTGGGATCAAATTATGTACATTGTTTTGCAGTTAGAGAAATTCTTTCTCAATGCCAAACCCAGTAAAGGCTATTTAGAATATATGGAGAACTTAAATAGTGGTGTCTCTATAGATACTGAATACCAATAAGTAACAGTGTGAATTCTGGAAGGCATTGAGAATTATGTATAAATGAATATAATTAGTTGAACTAGGCTGCAGTTGAAATGAATATGTTTGTATCTGTACATAAATGGTGAGAAATACTTCACATTAAACTTTCTAAACTGGCTTGTTCAATCTTAAAGATGAAAAGTTTTACTTTAATTTTTCAACACTTTTAATAGCAACTGTAGCTATGCTAAATTGTAAGACAGATATAATTTATACCCTCATCTTAAAGGTGCTTTCTTTGGCTGTGAACCTGCTGTCATGAAACATGGTAGAGATTATTTGTATTAATTTTGTCGTCTTTCCTCTTTTTTTTTTTCTACACAGGTGGTCTCCCAGATAAGAAGTTTGAGGTAGATAAACGAGCCATGAATCTCGGGGATTTTAATGACATGATGAGAAAGGATCGATCTGGGTTCCGTCCACCTAATTCCAAAGACATGGGAACCACAGATAGTGGGCCTTATTTTGAGAAGGTGAGAGAAATATCTTAAGATAAATTAATATCAGTCTCTGTGTTCAAAGTCCCAGTTTTTACCCTGCTCCCCTGGAAGTGCTAAAAATTCAGTAACCAGGGGCAAACTCAATAATTAAAGTTTAAAGGTGTGAGGAAGTTAACGTTTGTAGAGTGAATGTGTATATAAAACAGGTGTCAGATGTGCATAGACAAATTATCTGGGGAGAATGAGGCTTTTTATTCTAGAACGGACTGCTCTTAATGTGGACAGAAAGAAATTCCTTTGTTCTTTTTGGAAGAGTAAAATACTGGTAGCAATGAAATTCATTACAGGTTTCATCACAATGATCCTTTTGGCTACTGAATACAATCATCTACTGTAAAAGAAACAGTTTAGATCTAAGAAGACATAAGTAATCACAGTCTTCCAAATTTTTTCTGCTTTCGTGTCTGTCATTTATTGGAAACATCCTTTCTAAATTCCACAAGCCCTTATGCTGTATGTCCGTGTACTGTAAGCTTCTGTATGACATCTGTTTCTCTGTGACATCTGTTGTATGTTATGGTAGCGTTTCTTCCATATTCTTGCTTATTTTAAATATAAGCTTTTACTGTTATTATCAAACATTAATTGCCTCATATTATGAATTGGAGAGCGTCCAATAGATTCACAATGCTTTAGGTGCTTTTTTTTTTAATAAAGTTTAAGTTTATCACATGTAAAATAGAAAAGAAATTTGGTTTAAAAATTCTGAAGGTGTGTTACCGCCAATGAATTTTTTTAACTCCTCCATTTTGCTATAACAGGCCAAAAACCAGTTTTGTTAACTCCCTCTGGTGGCCTAATTATAAATACTACTAACAGAACTAATGCGTTCATAAGAGATAATGTTTGTAGGTGTGTGCTAACATTAGGAATTCATTCAAGGTTTGTTTGTTTCTGTAGTGCTAATAGCCACTGTCAGAAAAGAACTTCATTTGAGTTCAAAATAGGAATTTATTGATTATTTCTTTGGACCAAAATCTTAATTGTCAATTGATCATTTGAGTCAGAAGTTTTGTCCTTGTAACTGCTATTACAGATTAACTTTGCTTCTTCCTAGTCACTCACCGTCCCTCTTTCTCTCCTCTTGCGTTCTGTTGCTTCACTAACCAACTCCTGCTGTTGGCTAACTGCTGCTTCAGCTGACTTTGCCTTTCTCCAATCAAGATGGGTGCCTTGGGGATGAGGCTCCCTGCTCTCCCTTCTCCCCTTCTCCCAGCTACAAGCTGTCTCCCTCTGGTTCCACACTATCCAACGTCGGCCTTGGAGCAATCGGCTCAGGGCTCAGTCCCCAAAACTTCGCTGCTAGACAAGTAAGCAGGCCACCTTATAAGATGCATTGTTATAAGGCTGCAACCTGGGCTTAATCCTGGTTAGTTGGTTGCTTGCATTTGTTTTCCTACTAAATAAATTAATATTGTTAATGGAAATTTCAGCTATATTAGGCCATTAAGAATAAATCCGCTTTGGTTCCTATCATCAAAATATATTCCATCTGGTTTTGTTGGCCTCTTACTTCCTGAATCACAGTGCAGCAGCAGATAGGTGTGCTTTTCAGAAGTCATTAAGTTAGTGGCAACCTTTATATGTTAATTGCTGTTTTAAAACCCCATTAGAGGCTGTTGATTTGCCCCACACACCATCCCAGCTCCCCCTGACACTGAATTCTTCCAGACCCAAAGACCTTGTATGTAGAAATGTGCCTTTAAAAATTTGCAATCATTTTGCATTGTGCCTCTTCCCTTCTCCTGTCCCAACTACCCAAAGAAAGGGTTGATTTAGTAGCCTTGGAAAGCTCTTGAATTAGCAATATTTTTGTTCTGTAGATGCGGTAATGGTGGGGAAGAAATGAAGCGGTTAACTGCAGTTTGGAAGAATTTCTGGCTATTCTGTTTTGCGTTATGCTGGAAGAAAATGTTGCAGGAATACTAGGAAATGAAAGAATAGAACCTCAGTATTGCAACTAGACTAGCTTATGTAGTCACATGCCTAACATGATGGTGTTTCTTTGTGTTGTCTTTCTGTTTCTATGTGACACGATCAGTGTTGAACATCAGATTAAGTCCAAATTTTGCAGGGATATTCTTTGATTCAGTGTGCAGAATTCTGTTGAGCTTTAGGGAGGGCTGTGTAGCTACAGCTTCAAGCCTTTCAAAAATTTTCATTTGTAGTTGACCCCACTCAGTTCTTTCCAGAATAAAAACTCTTTTATCTCTTGGGGGTTTTTGTTTATCCTCCTGTGTCCTTAGTATGGCATCTTGAGTCGCTTCTGAATGCGAAGATACATTAAGGAGGTGAAATGTAACACAGGTAAATGAGACAATCCATAATGCTGTCAGTATAGAAGCAGGATGAGAGTCTTCTCTTTTAGCAAAATAGTGGAGGATGCACAGTATTATGGTAGAAGGGAGGCAAAGCTTATGAAATCCTGGTATATAAGGGAAGGAAGGGTTTTTGAGAAGGCCTTCACAATCTCAGTTTGGAAGAATGATGAATTAGTTGGTTGGGTACAGCAGTGCTGTCATGGAGAGGGGGAACATTTTCCATGAGGAATGGAAAATACACTGTTTAGGACCACAGGTATCTGAGGATTGTAGACAACCTGTTATACAGCAGAAGATAGGAAGTTCTGAGAGTCTTGAAAATGAAAGGATAGAATCATGGCATGTAAGGACCTTTCAGAGCACAGGATTCAGCTTTTAGAAGCAACAGCATGCAACTGTTAGTGTAGGAGACTGTCCGTAACGTTTCCTGTGGCTTTTGTTGAAAGATGTTACAAATAAAGACAATCTGCTCAGAGGCTGAAATAGTGAAAACATAATTATGAATTTTCTTTGGCCTTCTTCGTGCAGTAGGGTTTATTATTACAAAAGTTGCTTATAAAACAGTAAATACCTCTCATTTAAAAAAAACAAAACCTCAAAATAAACAGCAGGTATTCTAGTGTTAGAAAATAAATCACTGGGAGGAAAAAAAAAACAACATTTTTTTATCACTTGAAAATTTTCCTGCTCTTTAATTTAGTGGGTAAAAAATTTAAAAACATCTCAATCCAGAGTGCTGTAATTTTCACATCAGAAGGAAAATATTTTAAAAAATTTTTGAATTCTAATTTCAGTTAGTAAAAGGCCTGCAGAAGACATAGTAGGCTTATGAGTGATATCTCAACAACCTACTCAGAAAAAGCCCCTCAGTTTTCTAAAATGATGGCCCAAAATTCATGTTGATACAGTCTTGCCATACTTTTAAGTCAATGGAATGGTTTTTTGAGCATGTTGTTTGTACTCCAAGTTTCCATTTCCCAACATGTAAAGTGCAAAGTAAAAATTTTCCTGCTCTTTAATTTAGTGGGTAAAAAATTTAAAAACATCTCAATCCAGAGTGCTGTAATTTTCACATCAGAAGGAAAATATTTTAAAAAATTTTTGAATTCTAATTTCAGTTAGTAAAAGGCCTGCAGAAGACATAGTAGGCTTATGAGTGATATCTCAACAACCTACTCAGAAAAAGCCCCTCAGTTTTCTAAAATGATGGCCCAAAATTCATGTTGATACAGTCTTGCCATACTTTTAAGTCAATGGAATGGTTTTTTGAGCATGTTGTTTGTACTCCAAGTTTCCATTTCCCAACATGTAAAGTGCAAAGTATAAAACATTAGCTTTGGTATGTGCTTTGAAATAAGTGGATAAACATGACTCTCCAGCATAGAGGAGAAAAAGCCTGCATCTCGACAGTGTAGTGCAGCAGGTAGAACATTACTGATTTATGGCAAACATCTCAGTAATTCTAAGGGTACTCTGTTTAAGTCAGTACTTGCCTCGTTACTGATAGTAGTTAATAGCATAGAGATCCATTATCCTGAAAGGTTCATCTTCTCACTACTTCTTTAATTTTGTAGGGTGGCAATCATGGTTTGTTTGGAAACAGCACAGCACAATCGAGGGGCATGCACACACCAGTGCAGCCACTAAATCCTTCCCCCAATATCCGGGCGCAAGTGCCTCCCCAATTTCTTTCTCCCCAGGTAAGGAATTTATAGTAACTGGTTACTGGTAAAAAGTAGAGCTACAGCCTTCAGAGCACATCACTGAAGTTACTTACACATCTATCCTAGTGTTGACTTGATGTTAAGGAATCGAAAACTTAGGTAAGATTGAAATTTAGAATTCATAGTTGAAAGTGCTTAAAACTCAGTGCAGAAGGATTAGCCTTCTTTCTTATTCCAGGCAGTTGGTCATAAATGCTCGCTACCAGTATTTTTAAACTTCAAAGCGGATTCAGGAATCCTGTGTCTTACTTAGGCTTTTGCAAAGTATTTTAAAAACAACCAAAAAAGTGAAAGCTGAAAGTTTTTCAAAAGTGTGACAGGTAGCTTTATTTTTTTCAAGCAGTCTTGTCCTCTGCTTCCTGCCCCCCTGAAAGAGAGGCCTAATGAAGGGCTACACGTTGCATTTACACTGCAGAGCTCTAAGAACTCAGGGTCTGCAAATGCACAAGTTTACCTTTTGCTTTGGACTTGGTGAAGGCTCTTGGAGATTCTCTTGAATTCTACTTGGGTTACTCTCAAATAATGCAGGGAGAAATGGGGGGATTCTTCTCCACCTACTCCTGTCTTTTACTATAGCTTAATCAGCATACAAAGAGATTAACTCTTTCTGTGAGGCACTGTTTCTTCTCTCCAATGACTGCCTGAATGCCTTTCTTTTCCCTTGTCAAGCAGTACGTTTTTAATGTGGTAATGCAGTACTGTGATTACTGATTAGCTGAATATATATATATAAGCATTTTAATTTAGTGCCTTCTCCAGCAACAAAGTGGTTGGGGGAGGAACCTTTGTGTGTGTGTCTGCATCTGCACGTGTAATACTGTATATTGTCAAGTCAAGTGAGGTATTCATTCTGCTCAAGTCATAGATTGTGCATGTTTAAATGTGATGTGTTAAGAAATCTCTAATGTCTTTCCTGGAACACCTTTTAAGATTGGTGTCGTGCCTGTTCTTTCATAGAAATACTTCTGCTTCATCATCTTTTCTCATAGCAGTGCATTTCTTGAAGATATGTAACTGGTTTCCATGCAGGTTTCGGCCTCCATGCTCAAACAGTTTCCCAACAGTGGCTTGAATCCTGGACTTTTCAATATGGGCCCCCAGCTTTCTCCACAACAGATTGCCATGCTGAGCCAGCTTCCACAGATTCCCCAGTTTCAATTAGTAAGTAGCTTGTAATCTTTCAGGACAGACTGTTTATAAATTGTCTGCTGAAAGTTTTCTTTTTATGTTTGTTCCAATTCTGTTTTGTTGTACTGATCTTGTGTTATTTTTGTACAAGCATTCCCCCTTTGTTTTAAAGGAAAATACAGCCCTGTTAGAGGGCAGCAGATAAACTAAATGGGCCTGTGTGATACTTGTGAATGTTGCAGTGGGTTAGTAATGATTCTAAGCAGTATCTGTATAGGGAAAGCAGTTGTTGATTTTTAAAGAAGTTTTCTGCAGACCTGTTGTCATAGTGATGGTAATAAAGCAGGTACTAGTAATACTGTTGCATGATGTTAAATTAGAAACAAGTAACACATATAGTATTCTTCTAATTCTAAGAAAATTGTGATATTATTTGAGTGTGTTGAATGAGAAACAGTTTACATAAGTTCTGAGCAAAGCAATTCCTAGTGCCTAGCTCCTGGCAATTATATTTTACTTGATGAGCTCTGTATTTTCACTCTTCCCACCCCCACTTATCTTGTAGGCATGTCAGCTCCTCCTTCAGCAGCAGCAGCAGCAGCAGCTGTTACAGAGCCAGAGGAAGTTATCTCAAGCTGTGCGACAACAGCAGGAGCAACAGGTGTGGCACTGTTTTTGTCAATCATATGAAGTATAAAGTGTGCTGTGAAAATGCAATCTGCAGACGGTGCTGGCTTTAGTAAATGTCACCTGCTCTCTTCAGATTGCACTTTCCAGAGAGCAGGGCCCTTTGGATCTCTTACAAGTCGCTGTTTCTTCATGTTTTCTGGAATTCTGTGGTACAGTAGAGGATATATCATTCTCATTTTTTTCTTTCATTTGCAGATTGCTCGTATGGTGAGTGCCCTCCAGCAGCAGCAGCAGAGGCAGCCTGGCATGAAGCATTCACCATCCCACCCTGTTGGGCCTAAGCCACATTTAGACAGCATGGTACCCAATCCTTTGAATGTGGGTCTCTCAGATTTACAGACCAAAGGGCAAATACCTGGATACGGTTCAGGTAAGTGCTCTGTAGAAAAAGATTTAGTGCACTGCCTATAGCTACTATATAAATGTGGTAATTGTGTTACCAGTTATGTCTTGGTCCAGAAATAAGTAATTTATTTATAAGCTCTAGAGCAAAGGTTACAAGTGTCAACTCTTGATAAAATTTTTCAACTTTTGATCAAATTTTTTCATTACATGGAAAGAAGATGGACCTACTAACAAAGCGTATCTTAGTGCATACTGACCTAACAAGCTTATTTGAAAGTTGCTGCTTGAACGTTTCATTCCTACTGTGGATTTTCTTTTTTATTACCTTTCTTATGATCACAATGACTCCCTGTTTTAAGATATTTAAACCAAAAAGAGCAAATGACAATGGAGTTCTCTTTGTTTGTTTCACAGGCTTTGGCTCAAGTAGCATGGATTATGGCATGGTGGGAGGGAAAGAGGCTGGAACAGAATCCCGCTTTAAGCAGTGGACTATGATGGAAGGGCTGCCCTCTGTGGCTTCACAAGATGCCAATATGCACAAAAATGGTGAGAAGGGGACTGGCTATTCTGGAAATACCTTTACAGTATCATCTTGCCAGAGGTGAAATACGTCAGATGAGGTTATGCTTCAAGTTAGTGAATGTCTCACCTCACCAGTATGCATCTTAAATATTTTTTTGTTTTAGTATACCATACTCAAAAAGATCCTAACCTTTCCTGAATGTAAATGTATCTTTTTAATGCTTCAGGTGCAATAGTGCCCCCTGGAAAGGCTCGTGGAGGATCGCCCTACAACCAGTTTGACATAATTCAGGGCGACCCACTAGGTGGCCATGCAGGCCCTGCTGGTGATAGTTGGTTACCTGCCAAATCTCCACCAACGAACAAGATTGGAAGCAAATCCAGCAACGCCAGCTGGCCTCCAGGTATTACATGGGGACAGGGGTTATGTCCTAGCTTTAGAATAGATGTGCTAGGACTTTTCCTTATTATGCTTTTCAAATAACCACTGCAAGGAAAATATTTGCTTGGCCTATCTCATTTTTTAAACTTCTTCCCCATTAAATTAGAACATAAATGTTAAATTTCCAGTAAAAAATTGCTGGGCTAAATATGAACTGCTGGATTGCCTGAGTAGTATTTGGATTTTGTTGGGTGAACTCTTATCTTCTGTAGTTTGGTGACTTCACACTTACAGAAATTTTCATGAGAACGCTTGTTCATAAAATATACAATACCAGCTCCCTCCTCTTGTATTGATTCCTTATTTTGTGGTGTTAGGCTGACATGGGGTGTAAACATTCTGATTGGTGGCATGGAATCAGAAAGGAAAAGATGTGAAAGCTTGTTTGTTGCAATAGTGGTAACAGGATTTTCTTGTCTTGACCTGTTGTATTTTATGTGCCATGAACTTTTCTTCTGGCAATTGTTTACAAATACGATCCGTTGCGGACCACAAGGTTTCTTTTGCCAGCAGTAAAGGTGTGTGCTACACTGTTGTGGTTCACCTTTGATCATGTGGTATAAAGGATAGAAGAGTGTTGCTGTGTTTCAGTACTGCTCAGCAATCTTGTGGGCTAAGTACAAGTTTCTTGCTTTTTGGATTACAGGCAGTAGCACATTCTTTAAGTCTTCTAGGGTTTCACTGGCAGAATTTTATCTTTGTGCTAGAAAACTCAAGTATCTAGGAAAAACACATACGTATTTGAACACACACGTAACTTTCTATATAAATCATTCATTAAACACAAAATGGTGTCCTTGAAGTTGTACAGATTAATCACCAGTGCTGCTCAGCAAATAGTGGATGCTGTGGTTTTTCTCTACCTGAAAGACGGACATTCCAGGAAAACGTTCCTAACTGCAAATCTTCTGCTGTGTATGTCCTCAAGCACTAAAAAGTAAAGGTGCAGGTACATCTCTTGGGAAAACCAGTAGCACAGACCTTGCATCAGAAAGCCTAGGAATCTGTGTGACAGATACAACTGCAGGAAACCTACAAAAAGTAGTTAAAACTTTTTCTCTGGGAATCTCTCGGTGTCTTAACTGGCAAGAAAATATGTTCTGATGAGCTGACAGAGTTAAAGAATTACTTATCTCAAGAACGTCTGCACACCTACGACATTGCATGCTGCTGACTGCTCTCTGTGGAGATGTATTTGCATTACATTTCTGTCAACCTGGTTGTTAAGTACTGAGTTTTGCGAGGTGGAGTTACTATTCATAATGCCCCCAAAGTGTATTTTTTTTCAGGACCTCTCTCATAGACGCATTGTTGGGGAACTTGTTTCTTTAGTCAGCGTTTCCCTATATAATACTGAGAAACACAGTACTACTTAAAACGTTAGGAGAGGGATGTGAGGATCAGCTCTGCCATGTTTCCAGGTTTTGGAGCAGGCAAAGATTCTTGGTACCAGAAGGCTATTACAGAAGTGAAAAGCTGAATAGCTACTCTTTGACCCTCATTGACATCATAGAGCTTCCTTAGTGATATCTGCAGTCCCACTGTCAACGATAAGTAAAATTTTTGCTATTGCTGACTACCTCACCACTGTGAAAGGAGAGGTGGAGTTCACAAATCCTGAACATGAACTGTCACTGGGATCATCACTACCATCCCTAATTTCTTGTGTAAATGAGTAGCCCATGACTGTGATTCCACATGTCATGTAACATGGTTTCTGGCACATGGCTTTTATGCAGTTAATTGCTGTATTACTAGCCCTCTCTTATGAGGTCAATAGACTACTGGGACAAGTGCTGTTGCCCCGTAACCATCAGCCACTTAAGCTGTCTCATGTCCTCTCTAGCTTACTGATTTCCTTGAGAAGGAAAATTTCGCTGAAATCATGATCCACTTTATCAACACCCCTGATGAAGAATAAAGACCCAAAATGATTTTACACTGTGGATCTTTTTTCTCTGCAAGCTTGTAGATGAGGCCCACTGTCACTTCCTGCCTTGGAGATAAAATTTTTCTTCCTAGTCTTGGAAAATAAGTTGTTAACGAAAATGAGTTTACAAGAGAAAACCTCTTGAAATGGGTGCATTTTTCCTTTGAATGAATACAGTGGTCACTCAGCACTCACCCTGACTACACCTTTCGCGTTTTCCTCCTAAATGCCATCTGCTGCAGAAATTTTGCCGTTCAAGAGAGCAGTATTGTTCAGCACAAAGATAAATGAAGTGATGCCCAATCAAACTGATATCACAGCTGGAGGTGAGAGCAAGTTTTGCTGCATTGGTGAGAACTATGTCTTTTGGTTATGTCACACAGACTTGCATACCTACGTAATTCTAGACTGTAATTTCCCATTCAATAGAAGTTCAGTCATATACTCTAAATAAACTGGCCTGGATGTGTCTGTCATGGTTTTCCTAATAATCTTATGTGTGAACTTTTTGGGAGGACCTTTGAAATATCAGTGGAGAAATGCACTTCATGTTTTCGTGACTATCTAGAAATAAAAGAGCATGTCTGTAGTTGGTGAATGTGCATGAAAATAACTGTCAATCCCAAAGGATAGTTTGGCAATTTTTCAATATGCTGAAGTTCAAGGAAAACTTTTCTTCAGGCCAGGCTTGCATTGATGACTGAATGTATTTATATACCTGATCTTTGGAGCCTTGTTTGAATATTCCTTAACTTTTTGATGAGAGCTTATGATGCACTTAATTTTCAGTCTCACCAGTTATCAGAAATCTTTACAAAGGCAAGACTTGGACTTACCCTTTCCATTCTTTTTTTTTTTTTCAAACAAGTTGTGATTTCCAAGTCCTAACCTGTGTTCATTGCTTCTTCATATCTGAACAGAGAAGATCTTTTCACTAGACCCAAGAGCTGCATTGCTTGTTCCTTAAGCTTAGAGTGGTTCTACTTGTCAGAGGATTGCAGTATTTTGGCAGTAGCTGAGCAGATTCCTTCCTTGATGATTGCTCATACTGTTAATACTGTTAGAAATGTTGATACCTGGTGTCTTAGATTATTTTCTTGAGTTACTAAAGATTGAGAGATGTGACTGAGGCTTACAAAATCATGATGACAGTGAACAAGATAAATGCAGAATTTTAATTCTGTGCATCCTGCCACAATAGAACCATGGTGCAAATGCTGGACGTAAGGGCATATAAATTTTAAATAGATGAGACCTTCTTTTTTTGTTTCCATCAGGAGTGATGAACTTTTGGAATGTGTTACTTTTAGAGCTTCAGATGGTACTAGCCAGTTGAAACAGTGATTGGATAAACTGCTGGAAAAACAGTTTCACAAGCAAGTGCTAGCCAGATAGAGGGTGTTTCTGACATCCTAGGTAGAAGGATTCTGGATGCTGGGAGAGTGTGAGGGCTGCAGCCTACAGATAGTGGCCAGGTTTGTGTTCTGTCCCTAAATGCTGTCTCTTCTACAGCTCTTGGCAGATTAGTGGGCTAGATGAACCACAGTTCTGACCCAGTGGAACATTTCTTATGTCTGCTCTGCGATTCTCCTGCCAGTGCATTGTCACAATCTAATATTGCCCTTGCTGTACCGATTGTTTGAACCAGTAGTATCACCTTTTCTTCTGTATTTGTCTGTGAAAGTCATTGTTTTGTCTATGCTTCTTCATTACAAAGGTGACTGAAATGAACACTTCCATGCTAGAGTCACCCTAAAAGGTTTCATTCCAGAGAGCACATCTTGGATCCCACTTTTAATTACATTCAAATATTCTGTCTCTAATTATTTCAAAACTTCAGGTTGGGAATAAAGGTGTCATTCCATATGCTGGACTTGAATCTGCCACCTTGACACTCTTTTCACGCTTACCCAAATTGTCGCATAGTATCTGAAGCTTCTTTACTTGTTTTTGTGTTTGGCAGTTTTACTTTCTTATCACTGCTTCCAGAATTGACCACAGCACTTCATTCATTGAACATCTGCTCAGGGAAGGAAGTTACTGATCTTTCTTTGCAGTAATTGGAGTTTTTGTATGTTCATACTTAATATGACTCATCCTCTTGTCTTAAAAAACTGGCACACTTGGAACTATAGTTGAAGATAAAGCATGATAAGTATATTCCATCTCATTGTGAAGCATGAAGAACATCAATGAGTACATACATTGCTTTCACCACGAGGCATCTCACCTTAGCATTACTCAGTATTGATGGGTAATGTATAAAGTGTGTGGGTACCTAGGTGTAAAGTGTCAAAAATGTTTACAAACTCTTAAGGTAGGTAGCTTTTCCTTGAGAAAGGCTTCTGCACATACACTATGTGTGCAGAATCTAATCTTCTATAGTCTAATCTTATATATCTTAAAACATACATAATGTATTAAGGAAGAGTGAAACTAGTGAAGTCTTATCTGAATGTAGTAAAACAGGAATAATCAAAAGAAATTGTATGCACTTGCATCACTTTTTGTGTAGCATAGACTTGTGTACAGACATTAGAGATAGTGCCGTGGAATGTTGAAAAAAGAACATGAAACAGTTTTTAATTCAGAAAAGTCTGATTTTTCTGAGGAACAGTGTAGAAGACAATTACTTACCCTCCTGAATATTTTCAACTGTTACTTCCAGTAAATAGCATTTCTATGTTTGCAACTAATTCCTTTTTCCTTCCTGTCCCAGAGTTCCAACCAGGAGTGCCATGGAAAGGTATACAAAACATTGACCCTGAATCTGACCCCTATGTGACCCCTGGAAGTGTGCTGGGGGGGACAGCCACATCTCCCATTGTAGATACTGACCACCAACTTCTGCGGGACAACACCACAGGTAAAACAGTGAACAGCTGGTGTGTGATTATTTAAATTGTTCTGATATTTGAGAATATTCTGATGTTTCTGTTGTAACAGAGTAACAGTCTATTGTATTTGACTAAGAAGGAAGCCTGTGTGCCTTTGCACCGTGGCTGTATATCACATGAAAGCTTGGCATTGGTACAAATCGTGGCTCTCTTGAGGTTTAACAGTATCATAGAGACCGTGTGCAGTTGGCCTACTCCTCTTTCTCTCTCCTTTTTCCTTTGATAGGGTCTAATTCTTCCCTCAACACCTCGCTGCCTTCACCTGGTGCCTGGCCCTACAGTGCCTCTGACAATTCCTTCACCAACGTTCATAGCACTTCAGGTATGCAGGCTCCAAAACTTACTTGGACAAAGCATTTTCCACTTACTCCCTTAGTTCCTTGTGCTTGCTCCACTTTGAATATTTAGCCTTTTAGTAATGTTTGAGGAAGCTTGGAAATCAAGATTTGAGCAGCTGATGATAAAATACTCTGTTGTGGTTGCTTTAAAAAATAGACTGAGATCCTCTGCCCTTCCTCGCACCCCTGGTACAAAATTCTTAGTTCTGCAAGTTATAGAATAGGGTAGCAGTGAGCAGCAGATGCAAAAGGGAAGAAAAAAAATCCAACCAAACAACAACCCACATGCACAATCTCTTGAGATGTGTAAGGAGTTGGGGGACTGTCATGATTTTTTAAACTAACCTGCTCCTGTATGCATGAGTTAAGGAAGTAGAGTAATAAGGTGAGTGATTTTAACTTTAGAATACTGGAGTGCTGTGAAGGGAACACTTTTGACTCGCGTTTTACAGCACTCATCATTTCCTGAAACCATGAGAGAGAGAGTTTTTAGTCCTCTGGCTTTTAATGGTTCACCTGTAAATAGTAATTTAGATACCTGCCTCAGATCCTTGGTAAGAAGGTCTCCAAAGCTTTCTTGTGAAAAATGGTCTCTGCACACACTTCTGAGTAGGAAGCTGGAAATATTTGCTCCAGACAAACCATTTGGATTTTGAACTTCTTACAAATGCCAGTTTTCTCTTGAGACATCATTGTCTTGTCAACTACATAAAACTGAACAATTGCATGTACATAGCAGAAGTGACAAACATAGCTGAGAGCTGCATCTGGCCCAAACGTTATGGGGTTTGCATCTTACTGAATAAAAGCTGTGTTCATATGTTATCTCAGCACCTTCACAAAGTGTGTTGAAAATCCTATTTAGCCCTTGAGAAAAACGGTGTTCCTTCTGCCAGCTTGTGGGGTGACTTCAGTTTGAAGGAATATCTGTATATGCAGTGTTCTAATGACATAAAAGATTTCTTTTTCATGGTCTGGGGAAAGGAATGGCATGTATCAGCTTCTTAGCTGTGCTTAATTTTTGTCTAGTGCGTAAGAAAGACCCAAGAGATAAAAAAATGATTGAAGCCATAGTTGAATTGAAGAGACTAGACCGCTGCCTGGCACACGTACATCTTCTGCTCATCTTGTTAAACTACACACCAGCATTTTACAGCCAGAAAATGGGTCATCTGAATAAAGGATTTAGAATTCACATACCTGTAAAACAGTCTAGTGAAAGCAGTTTTTTAAGCACTCTCATAGGTTAGTGCTTGAAACGTGCTTGCTATGGACAGTTACTGTGTCATGGAAATATACTGATCCAACTGTAAAATGAAGCACACTTTTACTTTCTGAAAGCTTTATGGTCTTGATTCCCAAATGTATTGTTTTGTGACACCCTAGCATATTGTAAACCTGGATTTTTACACTTTGTTCAAATAAGTAACTTACTACTACTTGAGTAGAGCTTAATACATACATTTGCACTCACAAGTTTTGATTAAGACAGTCCATGATTAAGGTAATTGATGAGACGAGAGCCTTTTCCCCCAGATTGCCCTGTCTGTGTTCACTGGTTCTCATTACAGAACAAAGGAAAAATAAACTACTCCAGCAATTTTGACTTTCAGTTAGATAAATGTCCCTTGCTGTCAGAAGATGTGGGTGAATTTGTGGTCTGCCGCCTTAAGGAAAACTGGTTTAAGATGAACTTAACATGTAGCATGGGTTTTTTTGGTGTGGTAAATTAACTGTTGCATGGTTTTCTGTTTTGTGCTTGTGTCCGATATAAATGCCCTCAAAGGGTTTACAGTGATAGCGTAGTTAAAGGCTGACTGAATCTCATACATTTCTCTAATACGTACGCTTTATTTAATCTTCTAGCAAAATTCAGTGATTACAAATCAACATGGTCCCCAGATCCCATAGGACACAATCCCACTCATCTCTCCAACAAGATGTGGAAAAACCATATTTCCTCAAGGAACACTACAGGGCTGCCCCGCCCGCCTCCTGGCCTGACCAACCCCAAACCATCATCTCCATGGAACAGCACAGCATCCCGATCGGTCAGGGGCTGGGGGGCACAGGACTCAAGGCTTGCCTCTGGTGAGAAGAATCAACTGATAGCACCATTGATCAGACCTGAGGAGTGTACGTTTTACAGCACTAATGGTTTGGATGAAAGAAAGTTGCAGTTGTCTGGTAAAAGGAAAAAAAAAAAAAAAAAAGAGTTCCTTCTTGAAGTGGAAATTTACTGTCAGTAATTGGTTTGGGAGAGTGGGAGGGGATGGGGGGCTAGAATCCCAGGTCCTGCTGCAGGGGATACGTGAAAAGGGCTGGAAGCTGCCAGGAGGGAATACCTACTACAGGGGGCCTTTCAAGACTGGATGCTTTCTGTGGGTGGGAAACTCCTCAAACATGAAGTCTAGCGAAAAGTTGAATCTTCATATGAAATGCCAGGAGACATGTATTTTCATTTTCAGGATTGAAGATTAGACTTTTCTGTGTTAGCAGGGCTGATAATGCTGAATTTGTCTGAGATTGAAAGACCGAAGTGAAAAGAAAAATGGTTTTCTTTCTAACAAATCTGTCTTGATTGCTCTGTCTTCTGATCTGCAGCATCTACTTGGAGTGATGGTGGCTCAGTTCGTCCTAGCTACTGGCTGGTTCTTCACAATCTCACTCCACAGGTATTTTCTGTTGTTGTCTCTGGGATCTCGTTTGCTTTACCAAGACGTGGATTCGTGTAGTCTTCAGTTGTTTCTCTTTGAATAAAACCTAACAAAATTAGATTTGTCAGCATACACGTGTTTCTACTAAAGTGGGCTGCAGTCTGATTGGTTTTTCTATTGTAATCTCTTCAGCTAGCTTTAGGATGTTCAATTTTTGCTACATGGCCATCATAACCTTTCATTACCTAGAGCTTCAAATAAAAATATTGGAACAGAAAGATTTTTCTTAGAAGTGAGGATAAGTTGCATGACCATAATGTGGAATGGTTTATTGCTGTTCAAGAGACTGTTCCTTGGGATGTTGTCAGTAAAAACCTGGTGTAACTGCCAGTTTTCACTCTGGTGTTTCCATAGTGCAACCACAGAATGTTTCCAGCACTACTGCCAAAAATGGTCTTGGTAGGTTACTCCTGCAAGTGTTCTCAGAGCTTACTTCCATTCAAAATTAATTCTGTGGAGTTCTCAGTTTCAGTAATCCCAATTAGCCTGTATTCAAGGCTTCAGCAAAATTTATATGATTATCAGCAGCGCCCTGAGATCTAGACAGTGTCCCCTCTTCAGCAGGATAATTTACCATGCTTCTACTACGGTCTAAGAAAACATCAACATGAAAGGAAAAACTTAAGGTCTCCTTCAGATCACCGAAAATGGCAAACTGTGTTCCTTTCATAGAAAAGACTGTTTTCCTTGATGTGAAGGAAACAGCAGTGGTGTGACAGAGTTCTAAGTCTCCCTTGTGCAAGGTAGTTTAATACTGCTTTAGGAATTGTTTAATGGAAGAAGAATATATCTTGGAGGCATTTAAGTTAATAGAAAAGGGAAAAAAGCATCTTATCATTGTCTTTTTCATAACAAATCCTCTATTCGTTGTGGGTCAGTTCACTAGAGAAGAAGGAATTGTAAAGGTTAAGATGGATTCAGGGACAGTATCTTAATTTCAAATTTCTCTTGTTTTAACTTTGTCCATATTTGTGCCCATGCACAGCTTCTTTTCCCTCATTGAGGTTGTATTATATAATAGGGGAGGGGGAAGGGGGAAGGAAGAAAGTAGCACTTCCTTAAGTATCTGCACATATGGATCCCATTCATGTTTGCCTGTGGCATACCAGGAATGGAATCTATCTGTACAGAACACCTTGGAGGACAGCAGTTATTGGAGGTGAGTAACAAGCTGTTACTGGTGCAGAGGGAATGTAGGCAACAGCTGCTGTGAAAACATTAGTTCAGGAGGAGTGAAGATTGCTGGGTTTCACAGAAAGATCACTGACTGTTTCTCTGAGTTACTGTTTCATAAACTACAAAGCACTAAAATAAATTAAAAAAACCTCTCATTGTAGAGGTGATATTTCCAGTTTTGCAAAGAACTTTTAAATACTGTTGATCTCAATTCTGAAATCAAACTGCTGGAGACTAACAAATTCTAGTTCCCTTGGGACAAGTCCTAATGACTGAAGATGGTGAGAAGTGCAAGTTGTGTATAATTACTGGAAAACCTGCTGACATAAGGATAGTGACAATCTAAGAAACTCTATGAGATGGGGAAAACTGGACTCAAGCTACAAGTGAGGGGGAAAGATAGGTCAGATTATTCCATCAAGCGAAGTCAATGTAAGCAGTCAAGGCATACTGATTCTGTTTGAAAATTAAATCCTGTCACCTTCACTCACTTCCCACTGCTTTCTCCTGTTTCTCTTTCTGAGAGTCATTTATCTTTTAATTTATCTTTTAATTACTGAGACGAAGTTAGGATTGAAGTTCATTTGGAGAAATGGTTACAAACAATTGTTTTCTCCTGGCTGTTCCTCCTCAGATCGATGGGTCAACCTTGAGGACGATCTGCATGCAGCATGGCCCACTGCTGACATTCCATCTGAACCTGACCCAGGGCACCGCCCTTATCCGATATAACACCAAACAGGAGGCGGCCAAGGCCCAGACTGCACTGCACATGTAAGCAATCCCCATGTCTCTTCTTTGTACCGCATTAGTCACAAACACAAAACGCCTGTGCAGTGCTATGCTTTGGAAACTTGTTTCAGGTATCATGTTTGGAAGGGAATCTTTCCTTTGAGGGCAAAGGAAAAGGAGAAACAAAGATGCCTTCTTTAGTTGCTGGCAGAAACTGGCACATAGAGAACTAAGAAGGTGCTAATAGGATGGAAGTGTGACCAGTATGTACCTTAGTGTACAATTTTGGACATTTTATAAAAGCTTGTGAATTGTTTTTGATGAAAATCATTCTTACGTGCGTAACCCAAATGTGTGGGAATCTGTTGCAGTTTTGAGACAGGCCTGAAACAGCTTACTTGAAAAGCTGCAGATCTTAGGTTTCCTGTTCTTAAGCTTTTTGGAACTGACTGGCTCTTGGTATGTTGTTAAAAATGAGAAATTTTGAGACAAAAATCTTCAGGGTATGTGGGAGGGTGCTTATGCTAAGCCCTTAAACTCTGAAAACTTTTGAACTATACTAATCTTACCCTGAATTTCACAGGTTTTTAGCCTGCTCATCCACTGTTCTGTTTGAAAGGTTGCATGTGAGCATTTACCATTTTAGCTACACTGCATAGGCACTTTTATTGCTCTTGGTGTTAATGTTCAGGACCTTAGTTTAAATTTTGAAAGGTTTTGTTGCAAGTATCACAACTGAATATTGCAGAGAGGGGGTTAGTAGGTTTATTTGGGGGGGTCTCCCTCAGAAAATGGAAGAGCTTTGAGTCAGTTTCACTGTCAAGAACAGCTAAAGTTTTCTGTGCTCGCTCCATTGTGGCAAGCTGAATACCTCCTTTGGTTTGGGCACCTAATAGTGGTGTTGCCATGCCTTCTGAATCCCTTGCCTTTCCCTTCTGGCTCCAATTATTAATTTTTTTTCTTCCATGTGTCTTGTCTTCTAGGTGTGTGTTGGGAAACACTACCATCCTGGCTGAGTTTGCCACAGATGAAGAGGTTAGTCGCTTTCTGGCACAAGCTCAGCCCCCTACACCTGCAGCAACCCCCAGTGCACCCACAGCAGGCTGGCAATCCCTGGAGACAGGACAGAACCAGACAGATCCAGTTGGACCTGCTTTGAATCTCTTTGGTGGGTCAACAGGGCTTGGGCAGTGGAGCAGTGGTGGCGGCGGTGGCAGCAGTGGGGGTGATCTCACTGGCGCTTCGTTGTGGGGGCCCCCAAACTATTCTTCAAGCTTGTGGGGGGTCCCAAGCGTAGAGGATCCACACAGAATGGGCAGCCCTGCTCCCTTACTACCTGGAGACCTTCTGGGAGGAGGGTCGGATTCAATCTGAACTTAGAACTTTCAACTCTGACCTCGTGACCTTTTTTGGAACAGCAGCAGCACTAACTTGACCTTTTCGTTTTTTTCAACTTGCAATAAATACATTTATAAAAGGAAAAAAGAAAACGGAGAGAGAAAAAAAAAGGTGGGTCATTGACAGACTGTCTGAGCACATAGTTGCCTCCCTTATATAACTTCAGTTTTTTCGTTTGGAATACGAATCCAAAAAGAGAACATATCACTCTTGAAATACTTGAATCATGAACGCCAACTTAGAAAGACAATGTGAAGCAAGTACACATACCATTTAAATTTAAACACAAAAAATTAAAAAAATTAGTTTCTAGTTTTTCACTTTTTCATGTTATACGGAAGTTGTTGCTAAGAAACATATATACTGAAAAAATAGCTTTTTAACTTTGTTTGCACTGGGTGTGTTTCCGTCCTTAGGTCTACCATGTTGGGTTGGGGTAGGGGAGGGGTTCAAAAGATAAAAGGGGTGGGAGGGAGGGGAAGACTTGACGGAGCCTCACTTTAAAAGAAAAAAGAAAAAAAAAACAAAAAAAAAATTTAAAAAACCTTAAAAACCCACAAAAAAACAAAACAGAAAAAAAAAACAACAAAAAAACCAACACTTTGTGATTGGCTGGTTGATAAGTACCAGTGTGTTCTGGCACATGTAACTGCCCACGTGTGCTTGTTTCTGTGTGAGTGTGTGCACATGTTCGTGTGTGTGCATTTTTTTCTCTCTATATATAATCTTGAAACGCTGCATTGCTGATGGTCTACGGGCTGGCTGGCCATCTGCGTGTCTTGATTCTGAAAACGAGACAGGCATGGTGGAGTCCCTGTGGCTGAAGCAGAATCCAGTTGGGCTGGATTAAAATTTGTCAGTAGGTCTTTTTAAATTCATTTTAGCAGGGTGCTATCTCAAGTCTGCAGATCATATTGAGTGGGTAGTTGCTTCCTAGCCCTTGTTCTAACCCTGTGGTAGAGCAGAACACTGCCATATCCAAAGGATTTGGTGAGAGGGGAGCTGATGTTGTCTTTTGAGTAGCAGTGTATTTATTTATTTATGTCTGCATGTGGGGTTTTTGTACTGAGTGAACCCTAGAATGTTTGTTATATAATGCAAGCCATTTTTTTCTTCCAACTAGGGGAAAAGAAGACATTGCCATTTTTTGTGCGGATAAGACAAATGTTCTTTATTCAGTCTCTCACAAGCTTCAGTACTTTTAAAAACAAAAAAGTGTTTATTTTCTGCCCCAAACTTATAAATAGGCACCCATATTCATTCTTGAAGAATCCGTCAAAAGCTTGAAAGTCCAGCCCAACCAAATTAGCCCTTTAATTGATAAACTGCTTGCATTAAAACTGACAAAAACTAAGTCGTGTCAGCAAAAACCGCTGGCCAGCCTGCCTCATCTCCTGAAAGCACATGCAGCTGACTCCTTTCTGCGTCCTTCATGGTGAGCGTTACCTGTGCCAGGCCTTGGTGTATTACAGCGCCAGACCATCACTGACAGAAACGTTTACTTATGAATGTTCTTAAACCAGTGTGTACTTCAGATGTTTCCTTTTGTTTCTCTGTGTTGTGTTTTTTCCTGTGTACGTGGTTTTGCTTAGGGAGGTATGTAACTAGCAAAGACTTTTTTTAAAAAGTATTGCACCTTTTTGTTTTGTTTTTTTTTGTTTTGTTTTTACTTTTTCTGTACTGTTGCTTTTTAATTTCTGTATTTAAGGAAAGGTTTGGGGTTTTTTTTAGCATCAGTGTAGTAGTACTCTGGGCAGGATAGGGGTGACCTATAATCTACAGTGATAGCCAGTGTGTGCGTGCATGTGTGCGCTGGGAACAAAACTTTGAAGACCTGTTGTTGTGAAAAGCGTTGTAGCAGACTTGAAGGAACATCCCTTCACGTAAAGCGGGAAGTCTTTTGGGCTGGGGGGGGGGGGGGGGGTAGGGCCA